TTTCCACTGAGCTACAAAGAGGACCTTCATAAGGCCCGGCCCGGTTCGCCCCAGGTCCAACCCCAGCAGAACAGGCGGGGGTATTTTTAGCTCGGCCCGAGGGTTAGTTCTGTGTGTGCAGGTAAAGAAGAGAAAATCTGATATTTGAAGGACTTTCTGTGGATTTACCGGTAAATGCCTCAAAGGGTGTGTTTTTTTTTTTTTTATTTTAAGACAACTTTTTTTTTCTTCTTTTTTTTAAAGTTATTTTTGATAAATCTGTTAAAATAAAATCTAAAGAGACCCTGACAGGTTTAAACATTTAATCAGACCAACAAAAAAAACCCAACCCTTTTATTCTTTTTACCGGAGTCTCCGGTGCAGTTAGCCTTCGGCTCACCGCTTTTATTTTGAAACGGGGAGCACTGACACAACGGATACGTTTTATTTTTAAATTAAAGGCGTAAAACACCAATTTAGAATTTGAAACTTTGAAGACGCATTAATGCACCACATCAACCACTTTGATTCATTTATAAATGCAGATTTATTCAACTTTACCTGAATTCTTTCAATATTTTTTTCGTGAATCAAATAAAAAAAAAATCTAAATGACAACTTTAGACCCTTTAAAAATAACCCAAACTTGTCATTTTTATTAAACTGAAAACACAAAAAAACAACTTTTACCAGCTTTCTGTTTCAAATATTTACAGTAATTTATTAATATTTCTGAGGCAGAACGACTTCCTGTTTGTTTTTATCAATAGATCTATAAATAATGGAGCGCCGAGCTACAAGTTTTACTAAAACGTGTTAAACTCGCTCTTCGTTTTTTGTTCTACGAATCGATCCGAAAACTTGGTTCTCTGCAGAATGGAGGCCGATCGGTGAAAACAGGAAGTAGATTTGTCTCTAACACGTCGTCGTAACGTTCAGGAACACGAACCTTAATAAAGACCTCAGACATCTTCTGAAAACATTCATAATTGTAAATAAAACTTGAAATTGACGTATTGTTTGTACTATTAGTGCTTAGTATATTCTTAGTTTAGCGTATTTCTTAATTCATATCTTGGATCTTATGACTGTTTTTCTTTACAATTTGTATTTTTGTTGGATGTAACTGGGACCCTGTGTACATAGTTTCATCCCACCACATGTACCACATGTGATGTGAATGACAATAAAGACACCTTGACCTTAAAGTGTCATTTTTATTCTTTATTTTAGGGCTCGATTAGTAAGTAAACGGAACTAAATGTTATTTTAAATGTAAAAACGGCACAAATCTTAAAGCAGGATTGACATAACTCAATATCTGCGGTCGCCATTGTTAGGAGGAACCTCTGGTTTTAGCTGCCTCGGACCTCGGTGGTAAAATCAGCCGTAGTGTTGTGCAAGTTCTGGGAGTTTCATTTAATTTGAGTGAAAACCAAGCGAGGGAAGCTCCGCCTCCTTCGCCTCGCCGACGTTTCTAGAAAAACAAACTTTTAGAAGCCGAGACGTCCGAACGAAGTTTGGTACGTGTTCTCCTGCAGGAGGAGTGTGGCGTCATTACATCACAACTTTCCATGCTTCCCTCAGCCGGTGTGTGCGCCTGTGCACGTGTGTGTGTGCACGTCCCACCTTTGAGTTAAATGTTATCCTGACCACACCCCCGACATGCAGTCGGCTGCAGGGCGACGGGAACTTTTCTTTCCATCTGCCTGCAGAGAATATGACGGATCAAAACCCTGTTTCAATGTATGTGTGTGTGCGTGTGTGTGTGTGTGTGTGTGTGTGTGTGTGCGTGTGTGTGTGTGTGTTGCACATAGAGAGCAATGGAAAGATAAACTGTGTGCAGAAACACAAAACAAAGTGCACAATCGCTCCAATCTGATGCTGTATCTCGGAGTGTGAAAGGGAGCCTTGTTTGGCTGCCTGAGGAACTCCCTTTGAGTGTGTGTGTGTGTGTGTGTGTGTGTGTGTGTGTGTGTGTCAGCAGGCCTGCCAGGCAGACATACTAAACCACTCTACATCCATGTGGCAGCAAAATGTAGTTTGGAAAACAACCCCGCTCCGACACACACACACACACACACACCCTGGGGGCTCCAGAGGCCAGCCGACAACCTGGTGTGTGTGTGTGTTAATGTGTGTGTGCTGCAGTGAGAGGAGGAAGTGCACAGGAGCTGTGAAAACTGAAAGAACAGAGGGAACCTGAAATGTGCGGCTCGGTGGTAAAGCGTGACGTCGGACGGTTCAACGTGGACGGACTCCCCGCCGAGGCGATCAGACGATTCGACTCCAGCCAGACGCCGTCGCAGCTCGGAGACGGTTCGTTAAACTTCGTCAACACCTCCCAAAGAGGTCTCATCATGGGAGGGAGCTTCAGGTGCTCAGTTGTAATGAACGGCCTCGGAGGTGGTTCTGTGGGGGGGGGGGGCATCGGGGGTCAGCATGTCTCTTCTATAAAAGCAGGCCTGGCCTTCAAAGTGAAACGGCTGAACGTGAGGCACTCTGCTGAGTTGACAGAAGGTCGAGGGACTCCAGAAAGTGGGCGGAGTTTCAGATTTGGCGCCTCCAATTGAAACCGTTGATAGTTTCCCGTTTTAAATCAGCAGAAAATTACAGCTACAGCAGTCCCTCGCTACTTCACGGTCCGTTTATCGCGGACCCGCTCTATCGCGGTTTTTCAAAATAAGATTGGACATGACGCACAACTGGCTGACTGATGGATGAGCCGCACGATCGGCATGGAATTTTTTATTAAAAATAAATTATTTAGCACCTGTGTGCAGCCCACACTGCAGGATAAACTTCCTGCTGCAGCTGATCAGCTGTTCTCCGTGCAGAGCTAAGTGGGCGTGGCCAAGAGCACTCGCAGGTGGCAAAGAGCAGCGGAGGCAGGGAGCTGAAATCATGACACTCTGTGTCTTTTAGAGCGTTTGGAAACATTGTTTAGAATATTGCAAGAGTGTGGGAAGGGTTTAAAACACCTTTATATATATATATATATAATGTATATTAATACTAAAATAAACTACTTACTACTTGTACTAGTATTCCTACTTGGTGGTTTTTCTCTTATCGTGGGTCTTCAGGGTACGGATCCCCGTGATAAACGAGGGACTACTGTAATCCGTGGAGTGGTCGTAGATGAAGCCCAGCAATAACACAAGGACGGGTTTGACAAACTGCAGGGAACAGTGTATTTATGACGTTATGATTCAGATTGTTCTGTGTGGATCAATCCAAATATTGATAATGAAGTTACAAACGTCACTTCTTGTGTTGGACTTTACTGTCGAGATACTTTATTTAGGAGAAACAAGGACTGAAAGTAGCTTAAATTACTGGAAATTCATTGAACTCAAGTTAACGGAGCAAAAGACGTCCAGCTGCTTCAATGTTCTCGTGGAGGTTCTCGCACCGACACGGATCGCAAACCAGTTTTTGATCGTTTCATCCTGAACGTGGCCGTCGGCGAGCAGGTAGTCCACGCTGGACGTCAACACCTCCTTACTTTGAACGGTTCTTGGAAGCCGACGCGGGTTTCGATTCAGACTTTACTGAACGCATCGAGGCTTCGCTGCGGGACTCTGAGCTGAAAGTGACGCCGCAAGCCCAAATCACTGCACGGAGAGTTTCGCAGCGAGATTCGAAGCGATGAACGAGCAAATACAAAGAGAACGCCCCGGCTGGTTCCAGAGGTACGTCTCAACCAGGAAACCGAACTGTCGGCTACAATTAGACTTCTGTGTTAGTTTTCACGTAGAGTGAAGACATAAAACCAACAGACTGTCTTTAAAATAATCTCTAAAAAGCACGAATGAACAAGGAAACCATCTGCAGACCGAGTTGGACTAAACTCTGAAACAGCAGCTCATGGTTCTGGTGGTTTCTCGTGCACGTGTTGAAGTATTTAACCCCTCAGCGTGCGTTTGTGTCTCACGCTTGCAAATGTCTTTTTACCCTGGAGCAAACTGGGGTCAAACCAGTTAGTGTTGTCACAGCGATTTGCAGTTGGGCCTCTGCGTGTTTGTTTGCTTTTTATTTTATTTTTTTATGAAACTGGGTTATGTTTGTCAGGTATGTGGATCTAAACATGTGCGCGTTTGCACGGTACGTGTGAATACTTGCGTGTGAGCGTCAGACAGTCCGTATGAGTCGTATGCACGCGTGCGTGTAACACGGGAAGCTGCCCTCGGGTTGATGGACATACTTTTCGCTCAAACAGCCCATTTACAGTTCTGGGGTCAGCTCCCTCTCGTTCTGCCGTGACCTGAACTGCTTTTGAAGTTGGCGTTAAATCTGCACACGGGTCAGTTCTATAACGGACTCTGGATCTGGTTCTGGCGGGTTTACCAACAACCAGGGCCGTGCAAACGATAGAACATAGGACCAGAACTGGGGACTATTCCAGTCCTTTTGAACGGTTTAGCTGCTTAGACAATATAAAATTGTTTAATGCACCGACAGGATCGGGAACAGATGGATCAGGGGTCCATTAAAGGTGCATCAGGTTGTCTGTCTTGGAGTTCAATGGTGGTTTAAGAAACGCAGTAAATGTCAAGAACTATCAATAGTTTGTTGGATATTTTTGTTTCTCACACATTTAAACCCTAAATAATAATCAGACGTTGAAAACAGGAAGTTAAGAGGATTCTCCATCAACAGGAAGTGAAACAACAAAAAAGAAACAAATTGAAGTTTTTGGGGAGTTCCTCAAACAACTGTCTTTGAACCCCTGCTTTTTAAAACAGTTTTAAAGTCTACCTTTCGGAAAAGAAAGTGTTTGGTCTAGTTCAGGGTTTCCTGGTCTACATGGGTCACAATCTGGCATGTTTTAGATGTTTCTCTGGGTTGACGCAACTTGATGCCTGACCCGTACAACCTGCGCTCAAACCTGCAGCCTTAAAATTACAAGACCGTGGCACTGACGCCCTCTTGAGTTTTTATAGTATTTACTCTAAAGTAACCACACCGATGTAAATGTGCAAGACTCAAATACATGTTTTCTTTTTCCTTTGTCCAAGGGTTCAAGTTTCCATTCGTCGCGGAGGCAGAAGTACGGCAATGTGTTCAAGACCCATCTCCTGGGACGTCCTCTGATTCGGGTCACGGGTGCTGAGAACATTCGGAAGGTGCTGATGGGCGAGCACACGCTGGTGACGGTGGACTGGCCTCAGAGCACCTCCACGCTGCTTGGTCCAAACTCTCTGGCCAACAGCATCGGAGACATCCACCGCAAGAGGCGGAAGGTCAGTTTGATTCAGTGTGAGCCCATTTGTTGGAATTATTTGAGAACCTGAGTGTTAGGAAGACAAAAGTAAAAGATGGATTAGATTTTATTCTTGGTCTTAATGGTCTGAAATAAGAAGAAGGCACTCGGATGTTAAAAGCAGTGGAGTCAAAGCCCATCCAGACACAGACGAGGCAGATACGTGTAAGGTTATCCCATGGATTCAGGCTTATCAGCAGCATTTTGGCCACTGAAGCATGAGAACGACGCTTCCATCACTCCGCTCATCCAAATCAGGAGACTGCCCTCCATTATCTGTTTTTCCTTTTTAACTTCTCCCTCCTGCTTCCTCTCTCTTGTCTGTGCAAGAACCATTACAGGTAATCAGCCACTTACTCCTCCCTGCCTTGGCCCCAGGGCCACATACCTTCCCCTCTCGCACACACCTGATGCACGAACATAAATCCAACAAACACACAAAGGATGCGAACCAAAGGAACAAGAAGCAGAATCTGCTGCGTTTTCCTGCAAATTAGACTCTTATTTTTTCTAATTTGGAAGAAGGGGGTGTGTGAAGGCTTTGGAGGTGGGTTCGGGTTTTGCTGCCGTGGTGCCCGGGGACAACGAGGGGTCGGCTGGGTCTAATCGGAGCTCTGATCCCTTCTTCTCTCCCTGGAGACCCCCCCTCACTAACCTGATGTAATGACCCCTGATTAGGAAGGCTGCCTCCAACATGGCACAAAGAGGGGCTTTCTGTGGGGGTCTGACACACAAACACACGCATGTAGAAGCTTGTCAGCACACACATGAACATTGCCTTCCTTCAAACAAAGACACCACAGATGTGGATGTAAGGCAGAAAATTAGTGTTTAGTGACAAGTTTAGATCCTGTGTTGTTAAACACTGATGCTGACAGTCGTTTTCCCACCTGTTGTACTCTGAATACCACATGTATGAAAGTACATGTACTTTCACTGCTAGGATAGCTCCTCTGACGTGTCTACTAATTAAAACAGAACATCGTCCTCATTCATCCTAGTGTTTTTCTTTAATTGAACCAACACCTAAAAACAAACAATTAAGAAATTGTAAAAAACTTAATTTTTGTCTAGTTTATTGGTCACTTATGTGTGAAAAGTAAATGAAGCAAAGGAATTGTCCCACTCAGTCCACAAACAGAACACACATTTTGGTGTAGCCTACTGAAAATCATCCAGTTAAACTGATCTCAGAAACAAGTTTAGGCTGACTCGCTCGAAAACATAAAACACATCACCTGTTAGCATGATTCTGTGTAGGTGTTAGCCTAAATCTGAGTAATTTTTACCTTCCATGAGTAGTATTTAACTTTTTTTTTACCTTTATTTATACAGGTAGTCCCATTTTTAAGAGATACCTGTTCAAGATTGTTAGCTTAACTTCAAATAGTGAGATTTTCACTGGATAACAGCTGTCCTTCCAGTAGCAGTTAGCTTTTTGTTCAGTAGCTTTTTGCTTGACTCCAAGTAGGTTAACTGTTAGCTTAACTGGGTAGCTGCAACTGTGATGATAAATAAGTGTTAGCTTGGTTTAGTGTAAACACCATTGGCTAGACTCTGAGCAGCCGTTAGCTCGAATCTGAGCAACCGTTAGCTTGACTATAAGCCGCTGTTAGCTTGACTCTGAGCAGCCGTTAGCTCGACTCTGAGCAGCCGTTAGCTCGACTCTGAGCAGCCGTTAGCTCGACTCTGAGCAGCTGTTAGCTCAACTCTGAGCAGCCGTTAGCTTGACTCTAAGCAGCCGTTAGCTTGACTCTAAGCAGCCGTTAGCTGACTATAAGCTGTCATTAGCTCGACTCTGAGTAGCCGTTAGCTCGACTCTGAGCAGCCGTTAGCTGACTATAAGCTGTCATTAGCTCGACTCTGAGCAGCCGTTAGCTCGACTCTGAAAAGCCGTTAGCTTGACTATAAGCCGACGTTAGCTCGACTTTGAGTAGCCGTTAGCTTGACTCTGAGCAGCCGTTAGCTCGACTCTGAGCAGCCGTTAGCTTGACTATAAGCCGACGTTAGCTCGACTCTGAGCAGCCGTTAGCTTGACTATAAGCCGCCGTTAGCTTGACTATAAGCCGCCGTTAGCTTGACTA